CGTATTTCACTGTATAATAACCAATATCAAGCCCGTATTTCAGTGTATAATAACGGATATCAAACCCGTGCTGCAGTGGGTAATCAATATCAAACCCGTGTGCAATGGGTAATCAATATCAACCCCATACTGCAGTGGGTAATCAATATCAAACCCGTGCTGCAGTGGGTAATCAATATCAAACCCGTGCTGCAGTGGGTAATCAATATCAGACCCGTGCTGCAGTGGGTAATCGATATCAGACCCGTGCTGCAGTGGGTAATCAATATCAAACCCGTGCTGCAGTGGGTAATCAATATCAGACCCGTGCTGCAGTGGGTAATCAATATCAGACCCGTGCTGCAGTGGGTAATCGATATCAAACCCGTACTGCAGTGGGTAATCAATATCAAACCCGTACTGGAGTGGGTAATCAATATCAAACCCGTACTGCAGTGGGTAATCAATACCAGACCCGTACTGCAGTGGGTAATCAATACCAGACCCGTACTGCAGTGGGTAATCAATACCAGACCCGTGCTGCAGTGGGTAATCGATACCAGACCCGTGCTGCAGTGGGTAATCGATATCAAACCCGTACTACAGTGGGTAATCGATATCAGACCCGTACTACAGTGGGTAATCAATATCAGACCCGTGCTGCAGTGGGTAATCAATATCAGACCCGTGCTGCAGTGGGTAATCGATATCAGACCCGTACTGCAGTGGGTAATCAATACCAGACCCGTGCTGCAGTGGGTAATCGATATCAGACCTGTACTGCAGTGGGTAATCGATATCAGACCCGTGCTGCAGTGGGTAATCGATATCAGACCCGTGCTGCAGTGGGTAATCAATATCAAACCCGTGCTGCAGTGGGTAATCGATATCAAACCCGTGCTGCAGTGGGTAATCGATATCAGACCCGTACTGCAGTGGATAATCGATATCAACCCCATACTGCAGTGGGTAATCGATATCAAACCCGTACTGCAGTGGGTAATCGATATCAAACCCGTACTGCAGTGGGTAATCGATATCAAACCCTGTCTATAGGGCTGCAGAGACAGAGCCTGTGTCCATAACACCCAGCATCCATTGGGAGCACCCAGCACATCCCCATGTCCATAACACCCAGCATCCATTGGGAGCACCCAATGCACCCCCGTGCCCATAACACACAGCATCCATTGGGAGCACCCAGCACATCCCCATGTCCATAACACACAGCATCCATTGGGAGCACCCAGCACATCCCCGTGTCCATAACACCCAGCACCCATTGGGAGCACCCAATGCACCCCCGTGTCCATAACACCCAGCATCCATTGGGAGCACCCAATGCACCCCCGTGTCCATAACACCCAGCATCCATTGGGAGCACCCAGCACATCCCCATGTCCATAACACCCAGCACCCATTGGGAGCACCCAATGCACCCCCATGTCCATAACACCCAGCACCCATTGGGAGCACCCAGCACATCCCCGTGTCCATAACACCCAGCACCCATTGGGAGCACCCAATGCACCCCCATGTCCATAACACCCAGCATCCATTGGGAGCACCCAGCACATCCCCGTGTCCATAACACCCAGCATCCATTGGGAGCACCCAATGCACCCCCATGTCCATAACACCCAGCATCCATTGGGAGCACCCAATGCACCCCCATGTCCATAACACCCAGCATCCATTGGGAGCACCCAATGCACCCCCATGTCCATAACACCCAGCATCCATTGGGAGCACCCAACACATCCCCATGTCCATAACACCCAGCATCCATTGGGAGCACCCAATGCACCCCCATGTCCATAACACCCAGCATCCATTGGGAGCACCCAGTGCACCCCCATGTCCATAACACCCAGCATCCATTGGGAGCACCCAATGCACCCCCGTGTCCATAACACCCAGCATCCATTGGGAGCACCCAATGCACCCCCATGTCCATAACACCCAGCACCCATTGGGAGCACCCAACTCACCAAGCTCTGGTGGTTTTAACCCATCCCCACCCCTGTCACATGAAACAGCTCCGCTCCCAGCCCTGGCTTTATTGTACCGTGATAGAGCCGCTGCGACAGAGCCGGCGCGATAGAGCCGCCACGATAGAGCCGGCGCAATAGAGCCGCCGCGATGGAGCCGCCACGATACAGACGCTGCGATAGAGCCGCCGCGATAGAGCCGCCGCGATACAGACGCCGCGATAGAGCCGCCGCGACAGAGCCGCTGCGATGGAGCCGCCGCGATGCAGGGAGGCACCACGACAGTGACCCCCCCGTACAGAGACCAGCACAGGCACCCCGGTACAGAGACCCCCAGGACAGAGCAGACCCCGGTACAGAGACCCCCGGTACAGAGACCCCCGGGACAGAGACCCCCGGGACAGACCAAACCCCGGTACAGAGACCCCCGGTACAGAGACCCCGGTACAGAGACCCCCAGGACAGAGCAGACCCCAGTACAGAGACCCCGGTACAGAGACCCCCGGGACAGAGCAGACCCTGGTACAGAGACCCCGGTACAGAGACCCCCGGGACAGAGCAGACCCCGGTACAGAGACCCCCGGGACAGAGACCCCCAGGACAGAGACCCCCAGGACAGAGCAGACCCCGGTACAGAGACCCCTGGGACAGACCAGACCCCGGTACAGAGACCCCCAGGACAGGGACCCCCGGGACAGAGCAGACCCCGGTACAGAGACCCCCTGGGACAGACCAGACCCTGGTACAGAGACCCCGGTACAGAGACCCCTGGGACAGAGCAGACCCCGGTACAGAGACCCCCAGGACAGAGCAGACCCCGGTACAGAGCAGACCCCGGTACAGAGACCCCCGGTACAGAGACCCCTGGGACAGAGACCCCGGTACAGAGACCCCCGGGACAGAGCAGACCCCGGTACAGAGACTCCCGGGACAGGGACCCCTGGGACAGAGACCTCCAGTACAGAGACCCCTGGGACAGAGCAGACCCCGGTACAGAGACCCCTGGGACAGAGCAGACCCCGGTACAGAGACCCCCGGTACAGAGACCCCCGGGACAGAGCAGACCCCGGTACAGAGACCCCCGGGACAGAGCAGACCCTGGTACAGAGACCCCCAGGACAGGGACCCCCGGTACAGAGACCCCTGGGACAGAGACCCCCAGGACAGGGACCCCCGGGACAGACCAGACCCCGGTACAGAGACCCCTGGGACAGAGACCCCTGGGACAGAGCAGACCCCGGTACAGAGACCCCTGGGACAGAGCAGACCCCGGTACAGAGACCCCTGGGACAGGGACCCCCGGGACAGAGCAGACCCCAGGACAGAGACCCCCAGGACAGGGCCCCCCCCTTTGGGGCCACCAGGACCCACCCCCAATAGAGACCAGGCTCCCCCAGCACACAGAACCCTGGGGGCTGCAGCCTCACAGGAATGGGGCCCATTGGCACCGCCCCATTGCTGCCAGCCCAGGGCTCGGCTGGGGCTGGTGTCCCTGTCCCCTGCCCCACGGCCACAGCGTCCGGCTGGGGGGCTGGCTCTGCCCCATCCATGGCTCTGGATGGAGGTTCACCCGCGGGTGCATCCGTGGGTCCTTCCGTGGGGCTGTCCATGGGGCTCTCTGCAGGTCCAGCGGCATCACTTCAAGAGTGCACGTTCCTGAGCCATGGGTCCCTGTGTGGGTCCATCCGTGGGTCCCTTCCCTCTGTGGGTCCCTCTGTGGGTCCCACCGTGGGTCCCTTCCCTCTGTGGGTCCCACCATGGGTCCCTCTGTGGGCCCCACCGTGGGTCCCTCTGTGGGTCCATCTGTGGGTCCCTTCCCTCTGTGGGTCCCTCTGTGGGTCCCACCGTGGGTCGCTGTGGGTCAGTCCCAGAAGAGCACGTTCCAGAGCAGCAGGGGCAGGTGCTGGGGGGCAGAGGGGAGCCTGGGCCAGGCTCGGGTCCATGTGTGGGGCGCTGTGGGTCAGTCCCAGAAGAGCACGTTCCAGAGCAGCAGGTGCTGGGGGGCAGAGGGGGCCCGGGGCCGGGCTCGGGTCCATGTGTGGGGTGCTGTGGGTCAGTCCCAGAAGAGCACGTTCCAGAGCAGCAGGGGCAGGTGCTGGGGGGCAGAGGGGGCCCAGGCTGGGCTCGGGTCCATGTGTGGGGCGCTGTGGGTCAGTCCCAGAAGAGCACGTTCCAGAGCAGCAGGGGCAGGTGCTGGGGGGCACAGGGAGCCCGGGGCCGGGCTCGGGTCCATGTGTGGGGCGCTGTGGGTCAGTCCCAGAAGAGCACATTCCAGAGCAGCAGGGGCAGGTGCTGGGGGGCACAGGGGGGCCCGGGCCGGGCTCAGGTCCATGTGTGGGGCGCTGTGGGTCAGTCCCAGAAGAGCACGTTCCAGAGCAGCAGCCAGCAGGGGGTGGGGGGCACAGGGGGGCCCGGGGCCGGGCTCGGGTCCATGTGTGGGGCGCTGTGGGTCAGTCCCAGAAGAGCACGTTCCAGAGCAGCAGGGGCAGGGGCAGGTGCTGGGGGGCAGAGGGGGGCCGGGGCCGGGCTCAGGTCCATGTGTGGGGCGCTGTGGGTCAGTCCCAGAAGAGCACGTTCCAGAGCAGCAGGGGCTGGGGGGCAGAGGGGAGCCTGGGCCGGGCTCGGGTCCATGTGTGGGGCGCTGTGGGTCAGTCCCAGAAGAGCACGTTCCAGAGCAGCAGCCAGCAGGGGCTGGGGGGCAGAGGGGAGCCTGGGCCGGGCTCGGGTCCATGTGTGGGGCGCTGTGGGTCAGTCCCAGAAGAGCACGTTCCAGAGCAGCAGGGGCAGGGGCAGGTGCTGGGGGGCAGAGGGGGCCCGGGGCCGGGCTCGGGTCCATGTGTGGGGCGCTGTGGGTCAGTCCCAGAAGAGCACGTTCCAGAGCAGCAGCCAGCAGGGGTAGGTGCCGAGGGCGAGCAGGGGGCAGAGGAAGGCCCCGTGCAGGTGGTGCAGGAGCAGCCCCTGCCCCAGCGCGCCCAGGAAGCGCTGCCAGGCCTCCCCCGGCGCCGCCGGCGCCTCCACCAGCTCCCGCTCCAGGAAGATGCCCAAGAGCAGCGACACGGCCGGGGTGGCCAAGACCAGCACCAGCGCCAGCAGCACCCTATGGGGAACGGGACAGTGAGCACGGGGACACCGGGGGCACCCAGTGACACCCAGTGACACCCAGTGACACCCAGCGCCAGCAGCACCCTATGGGGAACGGAGACAGTGAGCACGGGGACACCGGGGGCACCCAGTGACACCCAGTGACACCCAGTGACACCCAGCGCCAGCAGCACCCTGCGGGGAATGGAGACAGTGAGCACGGGGACACCGGGGGCACCCAGTGACACCCAGTGACACCCAGTGACACCCAGCGCCAGCAGCACCCTGCGGGGAACGGAGACAGTGAGCACGGGGACACCGGGAGCACCCAGTGACACCCTGCGGGGAACGGAGACAGTGAGCACGGGGACACCGAGAGCACCCAGTGACACCCTGCGGGGAACGGGACAGTGAGCACGGGGACACCGGGAGCACCCAGTGACACCCAGTGCCAGCAGCACCCTGTGGGGAACGGGGACAGTGAGCACGGGGACACCGGGGGCACCCAGTGACACCCAGTGCCAGCAGCACCCTATGGGGAACGGGGACAGTGAGCACGAGGACACCGGGAGCACCCAGTGACACCCAGTGCCAGCAGCACCCTGCGGGGAACGGGACAGTGAGCACGGGGACACCGGGGGCACCCAGTGACACCCAGTGACACCCAGTGCCAGCAGCACCCTGCGGGGAATGGGCACAGTGAGCACGGGGACACCGGGAGCACCCAGTGACACCCTGCAGGGAATGGAGACAGTGAGCACGGGGACACCGGGGGCACCCAGTGACACCCAGTGCCAGCAGCACCCTGCGGGGAATGGGCACAGTGAGGACGGGGACACCGGGGGCACCCAGTGACACCCAGTGCCAGCAGCACCCTGTGGGGAATGGGCACAGTGAGCACGGGGACACCGCGAGCACCCAGTGACACCCAGTGCCAGCAGCACCCTATGGGGAACGGGCACAGTGAGCACGGGGACACCGGGGGCACCCAGTGCCAGCAGCACCCTATGGGGAACGGGACAGTGAGCACGGGGACACCGGGGGCACCCAGTGACACCCAGTGACACCCAGTGCCAGCAGCACCCTATGGGGAACGGGACAGTGAGCACGGGGACACCGGGGGCACTCAGTGACACCCAGTGCCAGCAGCACCCTGTGGGGAACAGGGACAGTGAGCACGAGGACACCAGGGGCACCCAGTGACACCCTGCAGGGAATGGGCACAGTGAGCACGAGGACACCAGGGGCACCCAGTGACACCCTGCAGGGAATGGGCACAGTGAGCACGGGGACACCGGGAGCACCCAGTGACACCCTGCGGGGAACGGGGACAGTGAGCACGAGGACACCGGGGGCACCCAGTGACACCCAGTGCCAGCAGCACCCTATGGGGAATGGGGACAGTGAGCACGAGGACACTGGGGGCACCCAGTGACACCCTGCAGGGAATGGGCACAGTGAGCACGGGGACACCGGGGACACCCAGTGACACCCAGTGCCAGCAGCACCCTGCGGGGAACGGAGACAGTGAGCACGGGGACACCGGGAGCACCCAGTGCCAGCAGCACCCTATGGGGAATGGGCACAGTGAGCACGGGGACACCGGGGGCACCCAGTGACACCCAGTGACACCCAGTGCCAGCAGCACCCTGCGGGGAACGGGCACAGTGAGCACGGGGACACCGGGAGCACCCAGTGACACCCAGTGACACCCAGCGCCAGCAGCACCCTGTGGGGAATGGGCACAGTGAGCACGGGGACACCAGGGGCACCCAGTGACACCCAGTGCCAGCAGCACCCTATGGGGAATGGGCACAGTGAGCACGGGGACACCGGGAGCACCCAGTGCCAGCAGCACCCTATGGGGAATGGGCACAGTGAGCACGGGGACACCGGGAGCACCCAGTGACACCCAGCACCAGCAGCACCCTATGGGGAATGGGGACAGTGAGCACGGGGACACCGGGAGCACCCAGTGACACCCAGCACCGGGGGCACCCAGTGACACCCAGCGCCAGCAGCACCCTGTGGGGAACGGAGACAGTGAGCACGAGGACACCGGGAGCACCCAGTGACACCCAGCACCAGCAGCACCCTATGGGGAATGGGGACAGTGAGCACGGGGACACCGGGAGCACCCAGTGACACCCAGCACCAGCAGCACCCTATGGGGAATGGGGACAGTGAGCACGGGGACACCGGGAGCACCCAGTGACACCCAGCACCAGCAGCACCCTATGGGGAATGGGGACAGTGAGCACGGGGACACCGGGAGCACCCAGTGACACCCAGCACCAGCAGCACCCTATGGGGAATGGGCACAGTGAGCACGGGGACACCGGGAGCACCCAGTGACACCCAGTGCCAGCAGCACCCTATGGGGAACGGAGACAGTGAGCACGGGGACACCGGGGGCACCCAGTGACACCCTGCGGGGAACGGGACAGTGAGCACGGGGACACCGGGAGCACCCAGTGACACCCAGTGACACCCAGTGCCAGCAGCACCCTGTGGGGAATGGGGACAGTGAGCACGGGGACACCGGGGGCACCCAGTGACACCCTGCGGGGAACGGGACAGTGAGCACGGGGACACCGGGAGCACCCAGTGACACCCAGTGCCAGCAGCACCCTGTGGGGAATGGGGACAGTGAGCACGGGGACACCGGGAGCACCCAGTGACACCCAGTGCCAGCAGCACCCTATGGGGAACGGGACAGTGAGCACGGGGACACCGGGAGCACCCAGTGACACCCAGTGCCAGCAGCACCCTATGGGGAACGGAGACAGTGAGCACGGGGACACCGGGAGCACCCAGTGACACCCTGCGGGGAACGGGCACAGTGAGCACGGGGACACCGGGGGCACCCAGTGACACCCAGTGCCAGCAGCACCCTGCGGGGAACGGGACAGTGAGCACGGGGACACCGAGAGCACCCAGTGCCAGCAGCACCCTGCGGGGAACGGGACAGTGAGCACGGGGACACCGGGAGCACCCAGTGACACCCAGTGCCAGCAGCACCCTGTGGGGAATGGGCACAGTGAGCACGGGGACACCGGGAGCACCCAGTGCCAGCAGCACCCTATGGGGAACGGGCACAGTGAGCACGAGGACACCGGGGGCACCCAGTGACACCCAGTGCCAGCAGCACCCTATGGAGAACGGGCACAGTGAGCACGAGGACACCGGGGGCACCCAGTGCCACCCAGCGCCAGCAGCACCCTATGGGGAGCAGGAACACAGGGAGCCCCCTATAGCACCCAGTGCCACCAGCACCAACAGCACCCTGCAGGGACCCAGCACCCAGTGACCCCAATGACCCCCCTGACCCCCGGTGTCACCCTGCAGGGACCCAGCACCCAGTGACCCCAATGGCACCCAGTGACCCCTCAGCAACACCCAGCAAGGACCCAGCACCCAATGACCCCCCTGACCCCGGTGTCACCCTGCAGGGACCCAGCACCCAGTGACCCCAATGGCACCCAGTGACCCCTCAGCACCACCCTGCAGGGACCCAGCACCCAATGACCCCCCTGACCCCGGTGTCACCCTGCAGGGACCCAGCACCCAGTGACCCCA